GTTAGTCTGACTGGGAGTGAGGGACTAGCTGGAACCAGAACTAGGTTTCCTATACGCTAAGCTATACAAGTGCGTTTTTAATCTAGACTTGAAAAGCAAGAGTGTGCCTGAATCCCGCACATCCGCCGGGAGACCATTCCACAGCTGCGGAGCTCTGTAGGAGAATGCTCTGCAGCCTGCCGTAGCCCTGTCTACTTTAGGAACTAATAGATATCTGAATAGATACTGATGTTTCTGGAGGAAACATCAGTTGTTGGCCAATATCTACCAGCAGTTTCCAGTCGCGTGTTAAGTAATAGAGAAAATGTACACTACCAGTCAAAAGTTTTTGCACACCACAGGTTTTTACCACTTTTCCATTTACTTCATAAACTGCAGATTTTTATTCTTAAGCATTTGAATGTTGAGTGACCACCTATACATGAAAATGTAAGTCAAATAAAACAAGTTTCCTTTATAACATAGAGTATGTAACAGTGCATGTCTGACATCCTAGTAACTGGTTGTACTGTATGGTGATGGCATAGTCAAATTCTTTTAACTTTAAACACTCTAGTTAACTGTTTCATCCCATGAAACAGAGCTGTATTTAATATCCCTTGTGGAAAGAATTCATCAAATTGTCTCTGCTGTTATGATTGTTAGAGAAGGTTACTTTGATGAATCAAAGATATGACATTTTCCCACTAATAAATGTGAACATGCTGCAAATGTATTTGTTAGCAAAGAATATTGAGTGCATTTTTAGTAAATGTTAAGCGTATAACATGCAAATGTAGAAAATCTGTGTGTGCAAAAGCTTTTGACTGGCAGTGCATATCCTTTGTATTAAGAATTAAATTTTGCGTAGATTGATAATTAATAATTAATAATTGGAAAAATGTGATGTTATAATGCTTTATAACATATAATTGTCTAACCATAGCTTCAGAGGTTCCAACCAATTTCCAGTTTCTAATTAATTTGTCCATTTGCATTTTGTTATGACACATTTTACTTAAAAATGCACTGTGTAGGATATCTATAAGGAATATTACACAGAAAGGGAAAATAATAGATAGAATCCAGAAGCAGTTTGTATATAAGGGAGTTTACATTATCATATGCTAGGAGGAACATCAGATAACAAAATAAACAAACCACATTGCACTAATTCGTATACAGATGCCTTCAGTACATTTGCCCTAAAGTGTGTTTTAACATGCATTAACCCATAGTACTATATTTTTTTACGCTTTTGTTCTATTCAATTAAATTTCATTTTATATAGTGCCTTTCTCAGCATGGTTGCCCCCAATCACTTAAAGAAAAGGAAACAAAAAACTGTAGTTTTATAGATGAGAAAAAAAATCTCTGGGTGAGGTCAGACTGTTCAGTCCTGGTGGATTTGCTAACAAACAAGTCAGAAAGTAGTGTGCTTGCATGTATTTGCCTTTCTGTGTTTGGGTATTTGGTTCTGTTACTTGCTGTGTCGTCCATGGGTCATTGCATCTTTTGTAGGTCCACTCTCACCTCAGCCTTCTGTTGCCCCGTCTTCAGTCCTGTACTGAGCAGCAGCTCTGCCTGTGATGTGCTGTGTTCCTAGCATGAATCAATTGATTTCCATCCCTATTATAGGTTTAGCAGCTGTGTGAAAAGGAAAGTGTTGGGCGGTTGATCAGTACAGATGCTCATATCTAACCAAAAGCAGAGGAGATTGCAATTGAGGCATGTAGAATTGCACCAGCAACCTTACTTATGGTCTCTATCGAGAATCACTCCTAAGTAAGGAGTTTATTCAATGAAACTGAAGTATTATACTGTTTATGATGGTAAACTGAGCGCTGATAACAAAGCATTATGAGCGTGGTCCTCAATTTCAAGTTACAGGGCTTGTGTTTTATTAGTGTTCAGAGACCGATATCACCATTTTGTTACACTCTAGTAAACTGCAACAAAGGTATATTTATGAAAAAAAAAGTTTTATGTTTTCCTACTATTCTTCCTAGAGGCAGCATATAGAGAAAACACACAACTTCAGCAAAGTTCCACAACTTTCTGTACAGCACCAACAAAAAAAAGATTAAAAAAAACCCCATCTAATAGTGAGCATAGAGCATGAAATTCATTGCAAGGTTTTGGGTTTGAGAATCTAATGGTGCTTACATTTTTTAAACCGGAACTCTTAGGTAAAGGTGGCATATGATCTATATGGTTGCTATTAAGAACATAAGAACTATACAAACGAGAGGAGGCCATTCGGCCCATCGAGCTCGCTTGGGGAGAACTTAACTAATAGCTCAGAGTTGTTAAAATCTTATCTAGCTCTGATTTAAAGGAACCCAAGGATTCAGCTTGCACTACGTTATCAGGAAGACTATTCCATACTCTGACTACACGCTGTGTAAAGAAGTGCTTCCTTAAATCCAGTTTGAAATGTTCTCCCGCTAATTTCCACCTATGGCCACGAGTTCTTGTATTTGAACTAATGCTGAAGTAACTATTTGGTTGAACAGCATCCAAACCTGTTAGAATCTTATAGACCTGGATCATGTCCCCCCTCAGTCTCCTTTGCTTGAGGTTGAACAGATTTAGCTCAAATAACCTTTCCTCGTATGACATTCCTCTAAGACCAGGAATCTTTCTTGTGGCCCTACGCTGCACCTTTTCTAAGGCCGCTATGTCCTTTTTAAGATATGGTGACCAAACCTGTACACAATATTCTAGGTGAGGTCTCACCAAGGAATTGTATAATCTTAGCATTACCTCACTTGACTTAAACTCCACACACCTGGAGATATACCCCAACATCCTATTGGCCTTTTTTATTGCTTCCCCGCACTGGCGAGAATGAGACATGGAAGCATCAACATACACACTAAGGTCTTTCTCATAATCAGCTACCTTTATTTCAGTAGGTCCCATAAAATACCTGTACTTTATATTTCTGCTCCCTACATGGAGTACCTTACATTTGTCTATGTTAAATTTCATCTGCCAGGTGTCAGCCCAGTCACTAATTAAATTAAGATCCCGCTGTAGCTGCTGAGCCGCTAGTTCAGTATCTGCTACACCACCCACCTTGGTGTCATCTGCAAATTTCACCAGTTTACTGTATATATTGGTGTCTATATCATTTATGTAAATTAGGAACAAAAGTGGTCCTAAAATTGAACCCTGCGGTACCCCACTATGAACGCAGGCCCACTGTGACATTGAGCCTCTTATAACTACTCGCTGCTTCCTATCCGTTAACCAGTTATCAATCCGGGTCGCTACAGTTCCTAAAATACCTGTCGCTTTGAGTTTAAGTGAGAGCCTCTTGTGGGGAACAACATCAAAAGCCTTTTGGAAATCTAAGTAGATGACATCATAGGCCTTCTTATCATCAACTTCCTGAGTAGCTTCCTCAAAAAACTCCAACAGATTTGTTAAACAGGATCTACCTCTCCTAAATCCATGCTGGCTATCCCTCAAAATGTTATTTGAGTCCAGGTAATCTACCATTTTCTCTTTGATTATAGCCTCCATAACTTTACCAGTTATACAAGTTAGACTGATTGGCCTATAGTTTGACAAATTACTTCTATCCCCTTTTTTGAAAATGGGCGTTATGTTGGCATGCTTCCAAATGCTTTTCTGGTGCTGTTAGTTTATTATAGGATCTGAATTATTATGTAGTTTATTGGATGCCTCATTATAGTTACCCAGTTCTGTGAATAAATCTAACTCTCTTTCTCTGTAGACAAGCAAGAAGGCCGTGAGGACTTGAGTCACCCTATACATGTGGACAACTGCCAGCTGATATCGGAACTCAATGATTGTGTCAAAGAGCCACCTGCATACACACACAGGGACTATAGGTAACAATGAATCACACAGCAGGCAAAATGGTGGGGTAAAGACAATACCGTGCTTTTGGATACACTGTTCTCTTCTTTCCCTGTCCAATTTCAGTGCCATTCTCTATCTCAATGATGACTTTGAAGGGGGTGATTTCATCTTCACAGAACTTGATGCTAAAACCATTACGGTAGGTGTACATTTGTGACCCAAAATGTTTAGTTTTCCCACAAGTTTCTGCATGGTAGATCTGGTTAAAATATTTCAGAGAGCAAGCATTAATGTCCACATTAATGTCCACTTACCTTGGTTAAGATATGGATCTGCTGTGCTGGATAGTGCGTATGTGGAACTACTAATCACTTCTGGAGGTACTTTTAATGAACTTACACTTGGTGGGAAAAATATCACAGATTATCTTCATTATACATGTAAAAACCCCATTTTTGGAAAACCTGGGACATTTTGAAGAAAAAATCAGATTTGTTGATTCTCTTTATTTGATTGATAAAAATACAGAGAAAAGATTTAACATGCTGTATTTCATATATAAATAACAAATTTAGAATTTTTTGCCTGCAACACACTCAGAAGTTGGGACACTTATTAATTGTCTGGGAACTGGTGACAGTTTTGCAAGTGTAATTTTTGCCCATTGTTGCTTGATACAAGATTTCAGTTGATGAACAGTCTGTGGTCTCCATTGTCTGATTCTCCTCTTCATGATGCGCTATGCATTTTCAATAAGAAACGGATACAGACTGACAGTCAATGCTCACACACTCTGACCTCAACATTTTAGATGGTCCTAGTTGTCTTTGGCAAGGAGAACTCGGCACCCATTTTTCCTGAAAACAACATGAAATGTGGATTCATCTGGCCATAGCAAATCCGTCAATACCCAATCATGATACCCTCGCCCATTACCAATTAACTTGCTTATTGTAAAATGTTATGAGGTGGTATTACTTGAATATTCTATGAACTTTTCACTTTTTTTTTTTTTTGCCTCCAACTTTTTTTTGAGTGTTAAAGGCATCAAATTCATAATTTGTTTATATTTACAAAATACAGTCAGAATGGTCATTTATAATGTAAATATTATACTTGTAAATAATATGTCATATGCAACATGATATTAGTATTCTTAATTGGAATTTGCAGTGACATGTCCAATGTTATTTTGAAGAGATAATCGATTAAGCTCAATATCCCAGACCAATTGTTTGGTCTGCTGAACAAAATTGTTGTCTTACAGTTCAGTTTGTAAATATTGTATTAAGTGTCTGTATAATATTTACCAAACTGAACTACAAGACAACAGTTTTGGGTTTGCTATATGTTCAGCTGTATTTCTTGTTGGGTTAAATTGTTCAGTGAATAATGCATATGTTTGTCATTCAGGCCACAGTGAGACCTCGTTGTGGCAGGGTCGTTGGCTTTGGGGCTGGGAAGGAGAATCCCCATGGTGTGACGGCTGTCACAAAGGGTCAGAGATGTGCTGTTGCTTTGTGGTTTACCCTAGACCCACGCCACAATGAAAAGGTGCCTGCCTTCTTTTAGTCATGATGCATAACATAGTACTAAAATATTGAGTAAGAAATGGCTAGGTTATACCCCTGACTAAAGTACTTTTCCTATACTCAGTGGCCACTTTATTAGATACTTTGCTTATACTGGGTAGGACCCACTTTATCAGGTACACCTGACTAGTACTGGGTAGTATTGATGCATGGATCACAGTTATATCTGCGTGCACCATGGTTAATCCATGGATCGGGTGAGCCGAGTCATTAAAATTAGCGTTCTGATTAGTAGGTTATGGATAGAATTTAGTGATCAGTGGTCATTGTTGACTCACGCAGTGCACAACAATTAAATGTGTCCTCTGCATTTAACCCATATATGACTGACAGACAGACAGACAAGCAGGGGGCAGCTAATTCAGCACCCAGGGAGCAGTGCTTGGGGGTGGTACCATGCTCAGGGTACCTCAGTGGTGTCTTGCTGGTCGGGAATTCGGACCAGCAATCTTTCAATTACAAGTGCACTTCCCTAACCATTAAGACACCACTGCCCACTGGATATATCATAAATGAGGAAAATATTAACTACATTCTTTAAAATGTAAAATGAAACTTTAAATATGTTAATGTCAGGTAGAAATTAGCAGTCTAGACTCTCATTGTAGGGTCCATTTGTCCTAAGCAGCAATGGAGGCAAAAACATCTGAGAAAATCAAACAAGAAGATGTAAAAACAAAAAAGGAAGGGCAGAAAAGTTGTGTGGGAGTGATTTAGTGAAACAGCTAACCGTGACAAGTTCTGGGTATATATATTAGTAACCAAGTACAGTACATCATGGAATTGCATTTGTATTGGTACACGGACTGCAACGTGATATGGTCTTAATAGGAAACACTACTTGCATACAAAAACTGCTATCCAAGTGAACAATAGTACCGTGTTGACCCAAATATAAGATTTTTTTTTCTCTCAAAATCCACCTGGAAAAAGTGGTGTCATTTTATGTTCGGGGTCTAGAAAATAAAGGGAATAGATGCTGCCAAATACAATAATTTGTAATGAGTGTTTTGACTTAAGTGAGCTGGCCCCATACCGCAGAACTAGCACAGAGTGCTACAGACCTGAATGATGGAAAGACATCATCTTGAACAAAGTTAGTCAAAAGTAGGGCGTCAGGTAGGTAGTATCTAACAATTGAGGAGGAGTTATGATGCCAATTTTAATATCATAGTGATTAATGACTGATTGTTTTGAAAGATGCAAAAAGTCAGAAAAAAATCATAACATGGTCTTCAAAGCAGCCACTTCAAAGAGAGATTAATAGGAGAGTGTGTGAATATGTGACTGAAAAACGGAATGTAAATCCAAAACTTAGTAACTTACACCAAACAAAATGTATTACATAATAAAAAGTTATACCTGTGGCAAATAATGTAATTATAGGCATTTTAAATAAGAAATAACAGTATGTTAATATACCATAAACACCTACCAATTTTATAAGTCTCATGAGAACTGCCTAGTAACCGTTTTAACCGAACGTGCCAAACTTGCTACCATCAATTGCTGAGAGTCAGGGGTAGTGAGCCACAGCCACCATGCGGCTGGGCATGCAAACGTGCTGACCCTGAATATTAGATGACCCCCCCTATTTTGACTAATTTTTGAAAAAACAGCTTTTTGTAGACCAAATCTTGTTTTTATACAGAAAAGTATTTTATTTTTAAATAATGGTGATAAGACACTGTAACAGGAGTGACTGTATTGGAGAGGCTTATTGGCACAATACATTGTTGATGGCCATTCTATACTTAATAAGAGAAAATTATGCATTCTGATTTTAATTTAAAATGAGACAAATATTTTCACTTATTTTCTCTTGTGGTGATTTTCCAGGAGCGAATCCATGCTGAAGACCTATTGAAAATGTTATCTAGTCCAGTGGATGCTGATTTCCTTGAAGCAAAGAAAAATAGCAATGAACCAATGGCCTCAGACCCAGAAACTATGGCAGGAGTAAAATGCCAAGTTCAGTCTGATGAAATTGTTGACCAACAGACTGGTATTCAGGTAGATGAAAAAGGAATGACGAAAGATGCTGAAAAACCAGCAAATGTACAGGGACAAGAAGAACAGAAAAAGGTACGAAAAACAAAGGTCAAAGAGGCAGAAAAAGATAAGCAAGCTGTAAAGCAGATGGATACACTGGTCATTGCAAATATGGACAAACCATCTGTTGACAGGATGGATGAACACACTATTAACAAATCAAACTTTTCCAGAAACGAAAGCCAACAAAGGGAACAAACACCAATTAAAGAAGCTTTTACAGATAAGATCAGCGAAGATTCTGGGACACAACCATCAGTAATAGACACAAACCAGTCAGGATTAGAGAACAAGGACACTCAGGCTCATAAATCTGACTCCGAAGAGAAGGATGAGCTGTGAGGGTTTTGTTTTTTTTTATTTTTTTATGCCACCTATTTCATACTTATTGGCAAATTTGAACCATGTTTTTGAAATTAGAAACCATTAGAAATATTTTGGTTATATCCCTCAAGGAATGGGCTGGATAAATGGATACACGGAACAGACAGTGTTGACAATATAAAAAAGTATAAAGCCATTTTCAATGAATGTATTGCTCCTGATCAACACAAGGTGGCAGTGCAGACTGATCATCTAATTATGTAATTGGACAGTAAGAAATCCGGAAACCGAGCAGTAATATAAAAATTGTCAGAAGTTCCTTGGCATCATTAAGAAAACAAAACATTCTATTTTTTTTACCTACTCCCTGTATGTACATCAATGATGTCAGAACAACATAATTTTAGCCATAAAAAACACCACTTTTTACGCTGGATCCTGTGTTTTATAAACATACACCGAAGTTTCTTTTTTCCTCTTCAGAAAATGGTAGTACTGGTAGCATATTATATATGGTATTTATGGTAAATTAATTTAAATAATTGGACAGAGGCTCTGCTCTGTCCAAAATGTGGGCCATTCACTACATGCCAACGTGACTGTGAATGTAAATATTCTGGTATAAATTTATCCATCTTCCATATTGCTCGTCCAGTACATGGTGAACCTAGAACTTATCCCAGGATGCACAAGCAGATGATGCCTTGGATGGTATGTTTGTACAATGTTCATATTGTATGGCCTATGTGGTTTAACCAAGGTGTGACTATTTCTGTTATTTGTGATAAATTAAAAAAAAAAAAAATTACAAGCTACAGTGTTTTGATATTTGCTTAACATACAACCAATAAATCTGTATAGGAAAGTGTAAAACTCTGTTCACACATAATAGAACTCAAATACCAATTCTCTTGTTTTTCCCCTTAAACAGTAGATTAATTATAATTGAATGGTGCAGTCTGGACCAAAGCAGGGTCAGCTGCAGAATTATGGAATAGGCTCTATCCTTGTATTAGTGACACAAAGAACTTCTCTTTGTGTCCTCCTACAGTCAGAGAGTAGGAGGAAGCAGCAATGAGCAGAATGTGACAGCCAAATGGGGCTATGGGCTAACTCTTTAGAGAACAGCATAAAATTCGAAGGAGCAGATTTACCAGCTAATACGTCACCTAGTACTGCTCCCATACTGTCACTGTAAGAAGTTTGGTACATGCAAACAATTGTTTTCCATTGTGTGTAAAAAAATATATAAAAATAACAACAATCAGCTTCAAATCGCTGACATTCAAGGACGTGTTCAGAAATATCACCAGTGCTATTCGATATTCAGTGTGGTAGAAATGTATTTACACAGAGAACACAATTTGAAGATCTGGTAACGCAATCTACTTAAATATGATTTTAAGTAAGGCTGTCTGAAATATTGATGCACTGTTTAAGCACAAGGTTCCTTGTTAAACTAGTATTTAAATATGTAGACAAATATTAAATTATAATAATTTATATTTTGTATTTTTTTATATTCAGAATATTTTATACTAATATGTTTTCTAAATGAATTTGTCTGAAAAACAAAGGCCTTAGTAAGATTAATTTAGTCTGGAATTGTGCAGAACACCAGTGAAAATATATTTCAATTATTTATTAGAAAATTCTATTTATTTAACAGTATCGTATTAATTAACTCTAATGTGCTCATAGTCAAAGTTAAAGTCAAATAGTATGCCTAGAACATAGTACCTGTATAGCCTTATAATAACTTCCTTTCAAAGGCCCTGCATGAGACAGCTAGGTTTTGAAAAAAGACCTATTTAAAGAGCGCAGAATACATTTCAAATGACTTGGAAAGTTAATGTTTGACCCATCCATTTTCCATAACTGCTTATGCAATGCTGGGTTATCTGGGGTAGGCTCCAGAGCTTAAACAGAGGGAAATTTACAGATATTAACTCACCTAAACCAAGGCTTTACCAATGGACTAGTGTGTTGAATGTCAAAAGGAAACCCCTCATTCAGTATCCGAACTTGAAAAAATCAGTTATGTATGTTTATTTTTGCCTGTTTCATACAAGGAAATCATCAGAATTAGACCTCTTTCGTTGAGTTCATATGCTTTCCTGTTATATAAAAGTATCATCCTGGGGGTCTCTTCTTAGCTTTGTGAGCCAAAGCCCACAGCTGGTCCACAATTATTAAATCATCAAGCAACCAATTAAAGATCAGAAAATAAGGTGGTATTCAGCTTTCCTTTTTTATAGGACATGTGTAAATGTTTCTGATTCATTTTCACTTTTATGGGATATAAAGTTTCAGTATAAAAAGTCTTGACTAATTTGACTAAATTTCATGAAGCCAGGGCTTCCTATCATGAAAGAATGACTTAATATCACAACAGAATGACTTTACATCAAGAAATCATGACATACTTAAATAAAAACAAGTTGATTTTATTTTAATATAATATATTTTATTTATATAGCTTTAAATGTTCAGTGGCATAAGCTGCATTATACTCTTTCACTCCTTCCTTGCATTGGGTGTAAATGAAAGTAACCATTGCTTGTTTCCATGGAGACCCAGCATGTTATTTACTTGGCAAGATTAGGCAAGACACAGCAGGCTGCAGACTCACTAAATTAATTGTGAACTTTGATTTGAAAAGGTAATTGTGAAAATAAAGCAGCAGGCTAACAAAACTTGACTTGACTTTTAGTATGATTTCTTTGAATATGGAGGATACCGAGTAAATGTATTCTTTATGTGTTCATACCACCAACTTTGTTAGAGTGCCTCTTATTTTTCTTCTGAAAATTAATGCTTACTTTGGAAGCAGGAGTGGACTGGGATAAATTCAATCTAATTTATTTTTATATACCGCCTTTCACAACAGAGTTGCCCCAAGCAATTTACACATGGCTGTGTTGTGATAAGTGCAACATCATAAAGAGAGAACATTTACAAAACAGAAATGGAAAGACAAAGAAATAATAGAAAGTCAGTTGACAACGGAGGAGATGAACCAAAAACTCCAAGGTAGGGAGAAAAAAACCTCGGGGTCCAAGGTCAACTGGCTGCCCAACCCCCCTGAGCACACTAACATTATAGAAAAAACAAAAGAGGGGAATTGCTTGCTAAAAGCAAGGTATACATGGTATAGACTTACATGGGACTGAACCAGAACTCCAGGTCAGATGGTGCCCTTCCCGGGCATCATCCAGACATGGGGGAAGAAAGGCAGAGAGCATGGGTGGTCAGAACATGCATTGATACATTAATGGACAAGCATAGTACATAAAAATGGCATGTACAGCAGCACCAGCAGCAATAATTATGGTGTGTTATATGTTAAGTTGCGGGTATACTAAACTGAAGTAATTGGTCTTCAGTCTGAGACTGATTCGGCATCTCAAACATAGGCTGGCAAGCCATTCCACAATATAGGGGACCTGTAGCAAAATGCTTTCCCTCCAACTGTCACTTTATTTAATTATAGAACAACAAGGAAACCTGCGTTCTTAGTGGACGATTTGGCTTGTAAACTTGAAGTAATGTATTCTGTTAGGTAGGCAGGTGCTAGACATTTAAGTGCCTTAGATGTAAGTAGGAGAACTTTGAAGTCAGTCCAGAACCTAACAGGAAGCCAGTGCAGGAACAAATAGCAGGGATTATGTGTTCTAACTTCCTGCTCCTAGTGACAATTCGATCTGCTACATTTTGAATACACTGCAAAGTATTTAGTGTGCTGCGTGTGCTCCCAGATAACAAAGCATTACAGTAGTCTAACCTAATATATACAAAGGCATGTATCAGTATCTCAGTTTCTTGAATAGTAAGGAATCGTAGTAGCTTGGCAATGTTACGTAGCTGTACACATACGATTTTGAATGAGAAGCTTGCATCTAAGATGACACCTAGGTTACGGTTATGGGCTGAGCTGCTAAGCGAAAAGTTCATCCCATTGGAGTGGAGTGTGGAGATTATAGTGTTCCTGTCCACAGACCTGCCTCCAAACAACAGAACCTGGGTTCTCGGAGTATTTAATGATAAAAGTTTTCAGTCATCTAGGTCTTTACACCGTAAAAGCAAATAGCTAAAGTGACAATAGTTGAAGTATCTTTAGACATAACTGAAATATATATTTGAGTGTCATCAGCATCGGACTGATAATTAACATTGTTTCCTCATTATGTTACCCAATGGCAGCATGTAAAGAGAAAATAATAAAGGACCAAGAACTGATCCCTGTGGTACTCCATATTTGACTTGTGACAGACAACGGAGTACAGTTATTTGGCACTTGAACATATTGATATCGATTTGTCAAATATGATTTAAACCACTTCAATACCACTCCACAAAAGCCAGCATCAAATTTAAGTCTTTGTAATACAATAAAATGGTCAACCATGTGAAAGGCTGTACTATGGTCCAAAAGCATTGGCACAGTTGTCAGCATCAGTTGCCATTATTTTGTCATTTATGACTTCACTTAAGGCAGTTTCAGTGCTGTGTCCTGGGCAGAAGCCCGACTGGTATCTATCCAGTATGTTTTGTGTGTTCAAGTATGCCTGAAGTTGAGGAGCAACTATGTTCTCCAGAACTTTGGACAGGAATAGTATATTAGAGACAGGTCTGTAATTGCTGAGCTCTGTGGATCCAGACTGGGTTTCCTCAGTAGTGGTCTGATTACTGCTTCTTGAAATTGGTCAGGCACATCACCTGAGGACAAAGACATATTCATTATGCCAGTTATAGGTCTTGCCAGAACTCCCAGGTAATCTTTTACGAAGTTGAGTGGGTGTTGGGTCCAGTGGATAAGTTGTCGGTTTGACTTTAGTTATTGTAGTAAACTCCTGTTTACTAATTTGTTCAAAAGCATCAAGGGTGTGTCCATCAGAGTTATTTGTCAACTATCTGAACATGTTTGAAGTCTAATGTATGTAATTTTGTCATTAAAAAAGTGCAGCATGCAGAGGTTTGGAGTTATTTGTTAGATGAGCTATTGTCTTAAAAAGGTATCGTGAGTTATTTTTTATTGCTATCAATAAGGTTGGAGTAATAGGCTGAACACATTTTCTTGTATTGTTGCAGGCTGTCAGACCAGGGCCAACTTGAACCACCTCTAAACCCGTAGATTTCCTTTTGCGATCCAATCTGTGGCACTACTGTTTGTAAGAGCCTCAGCGATTGTTAAACCATGGAGAATATCTGGAGGAGCAAAAAGCCATTTGCCATGTTGACATTTTTAGTCGATTTTTAGTTGCTAGTCTCTTTGCCTTGCAATTAAAATTAGGTTTTGGATGTCATGTTTTTATATAACGTGCTTCCCCCTGCTGCTGCCCTTTTCTGTTAAATGTTTTTCCCTTGAAGATCCATGCCAACATCACCTTAGACACGGTTGCTTGTACAACATCCATAAACTACCAATCACATAAAAACCGTTTATCAAATTCCAGTGTCGTCTTTTGAGTGTTGCTTGCTGTTTTTATAGGCAACTGTGCCTACTATGTATTTTATAAAAGATCTCCTAATCATACCATAGGTATTTTATTCAAGTTTGAATACAATTGTGTGGAAGTTCTAGATGTCAACATATTAACCAAATTTTTTTTCCAGATTTTTATTTTACATGTAAAAAGATTCATTTTATACATACATTTAAATGAAAGAATTCTTAATATCTTATACATTTATTATATATTTTTAATTTAGGTTTGATTTAATTGCACAAATCTGTTTAAGGACTATAAATTAGGAACAGCTGTACACATGCTTGATCATGTGGAAGCAGCTTGGTGCAAAAGTTAAATGTTCA